TCTGTTGCAATTCTTCTGGACGGTCTCTTTGTTTAAGTTGGTGAATGCTGCCATAATGATTGCCTTCAGTTCATCTTTGGTGTTACAAGAAGTTTTATTCGTCTCACGCTCAATTGCGCTCCACACATAATAATCAAGGGGGTTGCAGTCTGGGGTGTTAGGTGGCCCGATCTAAGAGGTGATGTGGTCGCAAATTACCATGACTGTGTTCTCCTGCTTGTATGGCACGATGCGGAGTCCTGTTGCCAGATATAGGGTCTTCCAGTAGCTACTCTCTTAACCAGGGCAGCACCACCTCAGGACACAAGCCCTTCCCTAGTGTTGAGTCTGAGGCTCTGTGGAAAGATGAATGGAAGCATAACGTCGCCATCACTAGTGATAACTTCAAACACCTTCGTAATCACCATTAGAATCATCCAACTCTTTCCGAATCCTCTGACAGCTAAGTACTCTTAAATGTTTGTATTAGAGTCGTTTCCAGATTTCTGGCGAAGTGAATTGCATCATGGTGCTCTTTTCCTCACAGACAGTGCCCAACTGAGCCTATTATGCAGTCAAAAAATCAAAAACAAACACAAAACTAAAGGTATAAAATGGTGACAATTTACCCATCACACCCTGTATATATGAGTGAGTGATAGAAATGTGAGGAGAGAGAGAGAGAGGGAGGGGAGTGAGTGAGTGTTAGGAGGAACGAGGCAAAAACAACACAATAAAAGGGGGTAGCTGAAAGAAATGGAAGACTGATTTAAGACCAATGGTAAAAATTATTAACACATTGTAATGCTTATCGTCCGCTCAGAAGACAAAGAAGCGGATATCAAAAGCGATTGAACGTGTATTCAATCTTGGCTAAAAACAAGAAAATGTAGAAAAAAACTGAAAATTTATCTGATCACAAAGAAATCTCTAATTTTCAATCTTACAATCTTAAAAATAAAAATAAAAATCTATATATTAACATTGTAGTACCTACCTACCTATGGTGTGCGTCAAAATGTATTAAACATTCGACTAATTTAAAAAAGGTGTAAAGGGATTATAAAACAACAGATCTGTCGGTCTGTCTTTCTTCATACTCCCCATCACTTTTCTTTCCACCGCGTTTCTCTTTGTTTTCGTTTGGCTTTTTATCCCTTGCCCTCTACTTTTCTTGCTTCACACCTTTCTCTTCGGCTGACAACCCCCCTTCTGTCCCCCCCAGTTCTGTAATTATGTGTAATGGAGATGCTTGGATGACTATCTTGCGCGCGTGACACTTTTAACAAAGCGTACAAATATTGTCGTTAGTCTCCTGACCGGACATGGCCGTCGAGGTACGGTGTAACATGCCTTGGTGTGAAAGAGCCTGGAAGAGCACATCCCTCTCCAGGTATAAATACAGCAGAATTCCTCCCTATAGGTGGCTCGCTTTAGTTATGAACATATTGTAAGTAGTCGGAACACCTTCCGATTTGGCTGGCGCCTATATTATGGTAGTCATATGCCCAGCTATGGTTTCGTTTGTTTAACGGCACATCAACATCCTTATGGGTCATTTAATGCCGAAATTTTATTTTCTTGTGAGCTTTGGTAATTTTTCCCCAAATAATGTATTGCTGTTAATTGTTGTTATTTTTTGTTGTTTTTTATTATAAAAATGTATTGCTGGTATTTTTTTTTCCTAATATATTTTTATATTTTCATGTTTGACCCCAGCTTGGGGGATTCACTATTTACCCATAGTTGGGACCCTAACAGGTGCTACCACCCCAGGTCAGGGTGGATCTGGAAGCAATAATACTTAAGAGTTTGTTCCCTACTCCTCAAAATCCCCAGATCAGAGGAATTGCTGCCGGATGTAGTTTATCGTCATACCCAGGACGAGCCCAGCTATGTCATGTTAACATCGCCTTGCAGCAGGAAATTCTGGGTAACATAGTACTAGCAGTAGAAGAAAGCATCTGACGATACTAGCACAAATATTACACTGGGATATGAAAATAATTTCTCATATATTGATGTCCTAATAATTATCTCATTAACCTATAAAAACAAACACAGATGAACATCTCAGAACGCCTCTAAAACGAAACTGCTCTTTATTAATCGTCTGAGAAAAGCCTTTTAGTCTTCCATCAGTATGGCTGATGCTAACCTCCAAGAAAGTGACTGGTTGCGCTCTCTCGGACTAACGTTCTCGGCTGACATGAAGTAGAAAGATTCTCTGTCTATATTTCTGAGATGAGGTATTATGTACACTATTTACATTATTCCGACTATTGTCGTCATATATATTACAACGTTTCGGCCCTTCAGTATCTGTCTATATTTCTGAGATGAGATATTATGTACATTATTTACATTATTCCGACTATTGTCATCTTTGTTGCCATATTTATTACAACGTTTCGGCCGTTGTACGCTCCGGCTTTCTTCAAGTGGTTGGAATGTCAAACTGAGCCTTTTATTTCGCTCACTGCGGTAGACTGTTCCTTAAGGACACATGGCACAGTGGATAAAGGCGTTAATTAGATCCAGTGACAGGACCCAAATAGTTGTGAGTTCAATATCTGGTTAAGACAGTGGAGAACTTGGAGAGGTGAATTAACAGGAGATAACTGACATCCATTAGACATGGCACGTGGAACTAGAATAGTCTACCGCAGCGAGTGAAATAAAGGGTTTAGTTCGACATTCCAACCACCTGAAGAAGGCCGGAGCGTACAACGGCCGAAACGTTGTGATAAATATGGCAACATGGATGAGGACAATAGTCCGAATAATGTAAATAGTGGAAAGATTATATTGAATCAATTTATCGGTCTGATTCTAGTAAAGTTGGTTCATTGTATCATGCCAGAAACTATCTTACATATTTAAAAGTCTACCTTTCGTCCAGGCATTAAATATTGCTACCACATACGGCCTGGTTCTCCTGTTATATATTTAGAGATTCTTGATTAAATCCAACGAAGAATCTGCATTATCATTGATCCTGACCTGGCATCTCGTCTTCATTTATTTTCCAACCGCCGTAACGTAGCTTCCCTCTGCCTTTTCTATAAATACTTTCATGGTAATTGTTCTGAGGCTTTTTTCCTCTATGGTACCTAGACTTTAGGAATTTAAGTGCAGTACTATTTTGGCAACAAGGTCTCATCATTTTACGGTTGAAATGGCTAGATGTAACCGTAAGTTCTATGCTAACAGTTTCTTCTCTAGCACTTCTCGCTTGTGGAACTCTCTTCTGGCTTCCCACACAAATTTGATCTTCAAAAGTTTAAATGCAATACACACACATATATATATAAAGAATTATGTCACACATTATGAAATTGACAAAGTCCGACAATTATTTAAAGACATTTATTATGTTTATACGTTCTTTTTATAGATATATAAAAATAAAAAAATGTCTTAAGATAATTGTCAGATTTTGTCCATTTCATAATGTGTGATGTCATTTGTTTACATTTGGATACGCTTTGAGCAGATATGAATGTACGAGAGAAAATCATGGAAAATTGTAGTTTAAAAACAGTAAAATCAACCTTGCTAACTGAAACGCTTCTCTGTGGCTAAATCGTTAAAGCACGTCAGGCTATATGACGGTTCCTTATAGGATACAGGTTCGATTCCTGTCAGAGGACGCATATTTACTATGAAAATTTATCGGACATTCAGGCCGGTAAATGTCGTTAATACTGTTTATTATAAACAGAGCATTTACTTAAATATTTGTATCTATAAAAAGAACTTATAAGCATAAAAAATATCTTAGAATAAAGAATTATATAGATTTGCTCAGTGCTATTTAAATTTTCCTGCATATGGTCATCATCAGCCATAAGAGTTTATGCCTGTTTATTGCAATGTACATGAAACATTAAGTACCATTAAAGTGTGGAGAGCAGCTATATAATTATTTATCATATAAATTTACCTCTATTATTTTACATCGGCACTGTTTAATTACTACCAGAATTCACTGTGTACTATTCAACATATATATAAGCTTCCTGCTATCTTTTCTATAAATACTTTTATGGTAATTGTTCTAATGAACTTTCCGCTATGACACCCAGACTTTATGAATTTAAGCGCAGTACTAGATTGGCAGCAAGGTCTCACCATTTTACAATTGAAATGGCTAGATGTAACCGTAAGTTCTATGCTAATATTTTCTTCTTTCGCACTTCTCGCTTGTAGAAATCGTCATGTTTGATCTTCAAACATTTAAATGCAATGTCAATTTTTATCGTCTATCTTCCTGTTTTTTTTTAATTATTATTATTCTCTCTCCATAATAATGTTTTACTTTTTCTTATATTTTCACACTCATTAACTCCCTGCGTCTTAGTGGCTTTATTGCCTTACTTGAAGTGACATGATTAAAAAAAAACAAAAAAAAAAAACACGAGAATATGAACTTGGAAAGTGGGATCAGCGAGTCGAGTTCGAATTCCGGCTAGTACAGTTGCGTCCAATTTCATAGAAATAATTCGCCACCCCAACCCACATATCCTCGCAAAGTAAACCGAGGTATTTAGTTTTGGTTGGCAGCCAGTCTAAGAGAAGTAAAACTGAATTCCAAAACCGTGGAGAAGGTAACGAGGAAAGAATATCTCTATTTTCCCCAAGAAGACATACTAATGTTTTTAATCATTTCACCCCAAGGAAGGCAATATAGCCGCTAAGATGCAAAGAGTTACTAAGTTTGAAAGAATATGAGAATTTTTTTTTTTATTTGATTGATTTGTTATTATTCTGTTTATGAACCTTTGGTAGGTTATTTAAAAGCAGAAAATGTTTTTCTATTGTATGGATTTTAGGGGAGGAGATGATTTTACTGATACAAGTCCTACTAATTAATCCATAGCTGGGGGGAGAAGAAGTGGATCGATACCTTTCCCAAGGATAGTAAGCAAGTAAATATAATGAACCCGACTGGAATTGGAACTCGGTTCTCCAATTTCCAATTCTGGGCCGTTATCCATTACACCACCTGCGCATCCAAGCTGACAGCACCTAGGATTGCCAACCGGTCACCCATCTAAGTAGTGACCAGTCTCGACAATGCTTAACTTCAGTGAGCGTACAAGAACCGGTGTTTCAACGTGACATGGCCGTAAACCTAACATTATTAGGAAGCGAGTTGAGGGGAAAACAAGAAGTGTGAGAGAAGAACCTGTTAGCATAGAAATTACGGTTACATCTAACCATTTGAACTGTAAAATAAAGAGACCTAGTTGTTAATCTTTTCTTCTTTTATGTGCCGTGTCCCTTCAGGACGTAGGCGATCGTGGTCCTCCACATCTTCCTGTCTAAATTTGGCTGGAAAGCAAGACGAGAGACCGTTTAAGCAAAAAGTGCGAGAGAAGAATCTGTTAGCATAGAACTTACGGTTCCATCTTGTCCTTTCAACTTTAAAATGATGAGACTTTACCGTCGATCTAGTCTTCTTTATCTGTCGTGTTCCTTAAGGATAGACGTTAATGGCTCTCCACTATTTCATGTCCTTCGCAGCTCTAAATAAATGTTATCTTTTTTCTTTTAAACCTTGTTCCGCCATCTATTTACTCAAACTCGCATTTACTCAAAGTAAGTTATGCGTTGTACTCCTGTCTGTCTTGCCTTCAATATGTCCTATGAGTAGCAGATTTTCCAAGCCCTCTTTCTTCATAATGTGCCCTAGAAATTTCAACGGTCTCTTCCTGATATTAAGTATGAGTTTCCTTTTTTGTTTCTTTTTTTTTTTTTTTGTAAAATTTCGTCGTTGCTCACATATTTTGTCCATTGAATCCACAGTATTCTTCCTTAGAGCCAAATTTCTGTTGCTTCAGGTCTCTTCATCTTTGAGATTTTTCAGCCTTTACCGACGTATAAGAGGACAGATATCACATGACCGTTCAGTACTCTTTTCTTTGTTTCTAATGAAAGTTTTTTTTTCTGTTTCTTAATACTCTGCCTTGCTTTTGGAATTAAATTTTGGTTATCCCAATGTGCCTTCGAATTTCATTGTCGCACTTTCCGTTACTACGCTTAAAATCGTAAATTTGAGAGAGGAAAGCTCATTGGAACATTTATCGGATAAAAAAAAAACGGAATCACGACACTGAACTCTTTTTGTTATTATTGCTCGAATTCAGGATTGAAGATATTGGTCAATAAAATAGTTCCATTCTGAAGAGTAGTGCATGTATATGAGTAAACAATTTTTTCTCTGCACCATGTCTCTTCAGGGGGTAAGTCCTGGGTATAACGATAAACTACATCCGGCAGCGAGGCCACTAATAGGGACATTGGAGGTTTTGAGGAGCGTGGAATCACCTCTAAACTGCCGTTGTTCCCATGTCCAACCTGACCCGGGGTGGTAGCACCTGTTAGGATCTCAGCTATGGGCAAATAGTGAACACCTCCAAACAAAAACACTATGAAAGTATAAAAATACATTTTTATTATAAAAATACCAGCAATACATTTTTATATAAAAAAATATGACTAATACATATTTATAGTAAAATAACCAACCATACATTTTATCTGTAGTTGAAGGCATACAATTGCGTTCAAAATATATTTAGTTGAAGCCATAAAATTGTGTTCAAATTATTAACATTTTGGCATTAAATAACCCATACAGGTTGATATGCCACTAAACAAAATTAATCAATCAATCTTCAGGTCGTGGTCGATAATTGCTCACTACTATTTCATGTCATGGTAGCTCTTATTAAATTTCTTTTCGCTATTTCTCTTAATCCTTATTCTATCAAGCATTTATATGTTAGGTAGCTTATGTCTAAGTAGACAATAGCATAGATAACAAGTACATTATATACTAATTTTACTCGCTATCCGAAATCAGAGCAGTCATTTATCTTTTGCAAACCGAAACGGTGTAAAACGAAGAAGCAGTTACGAATAATCGATATGCTGAACAACCTGAGCGTTCCCAGACTCCTAAAAAGTAACAATTACATTTTTTTTTTTGCAATAGCAACAAGAATGTGTGCCTATAATTTTGAAAGGAAATGTTGCTTTAGGACGGTGCTTCAACCTTTTTAAGTAATGAGACACGTAGGAGCAAATGAAAATATCACGCCACATTTAACAACATTTTTAAAGAGCATACATTTAAATGTTAGGAAATAAAACCATAGATTAAATATATATATATATATATATATATATATATATATATGTGTGTGTGTGTGTGTGTGTGTGTGTGTGTGTGTGTGTGTGTGTGTGTACTTAGTTTATTTCAATGTTTCTATTCAAATATTTGGGTTGTTTTTTCTTTGTTTTTTTTTTTTTTCGCAATTTCGTGACAATATTTCGCGGCACACTTTTGGCCATGGCACACCGGTTAAGAATTATTGGTTGGGGGCATATTTACGGTGTTTTCGGTGTTTTAAAGGAGTTTACAACGAAAAAAAAAAAAAAAAAAAAAAAGAGGCGGGGGTGGGTGGCGAGTTGCATACTGTGGTATCTGAAGCCTTTCACAGAAGACTACGGATCTCGGTTTCCAACATCGAGGAAGATGGACACAGAAGAAGATCATTTGTGCGTTTTGGAAATGCTCAAAATGTTTCTGTATAAATTAGAACTGCTTCTTCGGTTTACATCATTCCGGATACTGAGTAAAATTTGACAAATGCAGGCTTTCGTAAAAGTGAAATGGTGTAAAGCGAAGAATAAATGGGATTCAATCTCTTCCGATTAACACTGTCCCACAATGGATAAACACAAACGCTGTACATCACCGGACACACGCGCACACACATTAGAGGGTAGAGAAAAATCGTATTCGATGGGATATAAGAACTACTTCAACCCCACAACTTAAAAAAAAAGGTTCAAAATATTTCCCTGGGTCTTATATGCGAAGTAGGGCATGCACAAAATAAACTTTTTTTTTTTTTTTGTTTAATATTCCCTACTAAAATAGGATAGGAGTTGTATACACCATCAAAAACTGTACATGCCTTTCATATATATATATATAAAAAACACGCAACAAATATATACATTTTATACGAACACTGTGTGTGTGAGTATATATATATATATATATATATATATATGCAGACATAAACAAGTCTAATAATAAAAAAAAAAATCATGGTTTTTACAGAAAATATTTTTAACAATCGCCTTACTTGTCAATGCACTTAAGCTGACGCTTTTTATCTGACACACATTGAACATTATGCATACATATTTCTGTAAAATAAAGGTTTTTGTCATAATTGCGCTATGAACCTATTGAAATTATATATATATATATATATATATATATATATATATATATATATATATATATATATAAGGTGTATTTAGATAGCAAGAATTATTTTAAACAAGTTTTGTTGAACAATATTGTTCGACAAATCTTGTTTAAAATTGAAAGAAGGAGAGAAATAGAAAAGAAGATTATATATATATATATATATATATATATATATATATATATAAAAAGAAAAAAACTCTGATAATAATAATTTCCATTTTTAATATTCAATACCACTTTTCTTATTACGTAATTATCTCTGAAGCCGTTGGCGCCATACATACATGCATATACAATTAACTTGTATATACGAAGGAAATGCATATGCAACTTGTTTATCATGTGTGTGTGGGTGTGTGTATAAGCGCACGTATATATGTATGTTTGTGTACGTGTGTTTATAACCAGTTTGTGTGTGTGTGTGTGTGTGTACGCGTCAGGTTTGTTCGGTGATTGAGATTGTCACGAGTAATAATAAACCACTGACGCCAACATTCAGTGCTCGAGTCCGGTTTAAAAACTGAGGTTCCGAATGCAGGTTTACAAAAGAAACAGGCAGAACACCCCCACCTGCTGCAGCACAATCTTCCCCTTCAAATCTATTTGCCCCTTTCTGTCTAACTGAAAAGCAAACTTAACGTATAGATGTTTTTTGGGTTTTTTTTTTTTTACTCAACTGTTTGTGTTTATTGCGAATTGGAAATGCGCACTTGCATCTATATTAATTCACTGGTTGGATATATGATCTAAAAATGAAAGCCGTGCAAAAAAAATAAAATAATAATAATAATAATAATGATCTTTCGTAAATTCAAGCAAAAAAATGTGTGCTTGTAAAATCGTAGCTATTTGCAACTGGCACGTATGTTACCTATCAGCGTTCGAGTCCAGGTTAATAATAATAAGACGACGAATAAAAGGTATATTGAAGAAGCAAGTATTCATCTAAAAAACAAGATTTTTTTAAATTAACGGATAGGATCTGTCTACTTAATTAAAAATCTACTTAATTAAATAATACAATAACAAATTACAGACGTTGTGGGTTGAATTATAACTTGTTTGGATATTGAATAGGAGCCGACAAGCCCACCCCACTTGAAAGATTGGAGCAACATGACATTCTTAGACTCTTTATAAGCCACCTTTTAATTTTTTTATAAATCCCTACAACGAAGCGATGTTTGAATGTGGTTGGGATCCTTCAGGACCTTCAACGTCTGGAGAGTCCCTTCGCCATTTGCTTTGTAGAATTTCTTTAAATATAAATATAAATAAAACAAAGAAAAAAAAATAGATCAGTTACTTTTTTTTTCTGTTTAAAAATAATGTTGTCACTTGTTCTCATAGTTAATTACATCTTTGTACCTACCCGTTCATCTCATTTTAATTACTTTTCTGAACGCTGAAATTAGGATTTCGGGTTATTAACGCTATTTTCGCTGATCAACAACAACAACAAAAAAAAGCACCATCCTACTGCGTTGTGGGAAATGTTAATTCATAGATATCTAAAGTAAAAAGAGGAAAAACAAAAACAATAAAAAAACAAAAAAAAAAAAAACGAAAAATAACAGTAGAAAAGTCCTAACTAGTTCATTGGCAGACGGACAGATCGCGTAGCTAAAACCTAAAAAAGTGAGGGAGAGTTTTTACAGAGGGAATGAATGACAACAAGGAACTGAAAGGAAAGAATTAATATTGAACAGCAAGAGACGTAAAATGGTTAGAAACGATGAGAGAACATCTCGTGCTCTAAAGCAAACGTCTGCTGACAGGGTGTGAGGCTTCAAAGGGATTTCTTTCTTTTTTTTTTGTTGTTTTTTGTTTGTTATTTGTTTTTGTTTTTTGGGGATTTTCTTACTTATATGTTTTCATTATAACGATCTTTACCGTAATTAATAAATTTTTGAAAGGGTGTTGCCCATTTACTTACTGAGCCTTTCTTGTCTACGAGAGTAACTTACATTGACGCAACTGTCCCTCGTTTTTTTTTTCTTTTTCTTTTTTAAATACCTTTTTTTCTCTCTGAACAGTCCGTCGGTCGTTAGTATGATAAAGAAATATGCATTTTTTTTAATGACTGATGCAAAAAAAAAAAAAAGATACGAATTTTTTTTTTTTTTTAAAAAAAAGATAGCTAGTAAAAACATTTTTATTTTAAAACTGCGGACGTTTTTTCAACTACCGGAAAAAAAACTATTTTTCGCTTTTCCTCTTTTTTAACTACTTTTAAAATGGAAACAAAATTGAATACTCCAAGTTATGCCAGGGGTTGTTGACCATCACTAAATCATAAGAAAACTGTTTTTAAACGAACACACATTTACTAATAAGCGGTCAGTCTCGTTAAGAATAATTTCGTACAACAGCACAAAGATTGTGTTGCGTTGATCTTTTATGTGCTCTACCCGCTTTAAAAATTAACATTTATTTGAAATTCTAATGAAAAACTTGCATGGAACATTGGCTTATGGTAATTAGATTTGACTTTTGACTTTTGACTTTTTTGAGGTAAGCCACAATTAGCGGTCAGTCTTGATTTTACGACACGCGCAAATAGTTTGATTAGAAAAATCTTTTTTTTTTCTTTTTTTTAGACAGAACTTATGATTTTTAAGTGAAAAAAATTGGCTGTTAAAAGCAGTACATACGGAAAATCTATTTTTGTAAAGATATATATATATCTATATATATATATATATATATTTGATTTAAGGAATAGTTTAAAGTGGTGGTGTTAATTTCGGAAAACTTTCGGAAAAATGAAAAACCATAATAAAAACGAAAAAAATAAGGCACCTAGATTGAAAAAGAGAAATGGAGAGGGGTGGGGAGAAAAGGAAAAGAAATCAGAAATAAATATGTTTTTTAAATTTGTTTAAAATGTGGGGAGGGTTAAACAAAATTATAGAAAGAAAAATATAACTTTTTTCTGCAACTTACAGGAAAGCTTCTCTCCAAGAGGTTGTCGATGTGAACACACACAAAGATTTAAACATCAACTCACCTCTCTTACTCTTACTCCGACTCCGACTCACTCACTGCACCTCATAGTTAACCACTCCCTTTTACACTATCATCTCTTACTCCTCTACCTTATCCTTTTCACGCGTCACTCTTTAACTCCCTTTCCTCCCTCTTTTGTGTAATCGCTTCTTCTCCCCCTCCCTCTCTTAGTCAGTCATTGTCTGTCTGGTGCGGTGAAAAAAAAAAACAAAAAAAAAAAACGCCTACATTTTCTCCGTTTTATTTTATTTTATCTCGCCTCCTGCAAGTTTTCCTCGCTTTAGAAAATAACTTATGTTATAACACATCCATTTTTTTTTTAAGTAATGGTCGAAGGTTTTATTTTCATTCAATTGCGTAATTTTATTCATTTTTCATTTTCTTTTTCATTCTTGATTTTTTATACTTTCTTTTATTTTTGGGACATGCCTTCCCGACCACCGATATCTTGTTTGTCATTATTTATTTATTTTCTCTTTCATTCTTTCTTTCTTTCTTTCTTTCTTTTTTTCTGTCTTTCGTTCTTTTCTTTCTTCTCTTTCTTTCTTTGCCATTGTTTCTGTCACTTTTTCTTTCTTTCGCCTTTATTCCTTTGTACTCTTTCTTTCTTTCTTTTCTTTTTTTTCTTTCTTTTCTTTCTTTCTTTGCCATTGTTTCTGTCACTTTTTCTTTCTTTCGCCTTTATTCCTTTGTGCTCTTTCTTTCTTTCTTTCTTTCTTTCTTTCTTTCTTTCTTTGCCATTGTTTCTGTCACTCTTTCTTATTAGCAAAGTTTTTAGGTTCCATTCCTTTTACCTTTTCCTCCTTTCTTTCCTTTACCATTTCTTCATTATCCCACTAGGAACACCAAGTTCCCGATTCGATTATCACATAGACATTATTTCTCCCCCCCCCCAAAAAAAAATGTCCGAAATTGTCACACCTGATGCATTAATATTCAAACTGATCGCCTCCATAATATCGAATGAAGATCAAAGAACTTCACGTCATTATTTCTTTTCTTTCACAAACTACCCCCCACCATTTTTCCTCTTCTTTTTATCCTTCCATTTTTTTCCGATTCTTGTTCGTCCCTTTCATTGTATTTTTTTCTTACTATTTCTTTTAGTTTAACAATTCCTTCTCATCTTTCTTTTTTTTTCATTTTCTTTTTTTTTTTTTCGTTACCTTTTTTCACTTTTCTTCAATCTGTCCATCGTCTTATTCATTCTTTTTTTCACAGTCTCATTCATTCTTTTTTTTTTTTCAGTTTTCAACGGTTTCACAGCAAGAGAAATTAAAAAGGAAAAATCCAAGTAAAAAATTAATAATGCTTGATAATGCTTCATAGAATTTTTTAAAAAAATCAAATTTCTATTAAGAAGGGATTCACAGACTGAAAAGTTGTGGTGAAAAGCAACTGAAATTAACAAGAAAGAAAGAATAGGCAAAAATTAATAATGGCTTCAGTTAATAAAATGTCAATATTACTACTACTACTAATATTCTTCTTCTATGTGCCATGTCTCTTCAGGACGTTGGCGACTATGGCTTTCCACGATTTCCTGTACACTGCAGCTCTAAATAAATTTTATTTTTTTGTTCTCTATCCTCAACCCTATTCTGTCATAAATTTACTCAAGCTCGTTAGGTAGCTTATGCATTGTTTTCTTCTGTCCAGCTTATGCCCTGTGAGTACAAAATTTTCCGAACCTTTCTTCATTATGTGGCCTACAATTTTCATCTCTCTTTCTTTCTAGTGTTAAGTATAAGCGTCCATTTTTATTCCATTTTCCTTAAAACCTCGTCGTTCGGTCCATGGTATTCTCAGCATCCTTCTGTAGAACCACATTTTTGTAACTTCAAGTCTGTTCTTCATCTGTGAGATTTTCAAGCATTCACTATCATATAGGAGGACTGATATTATGTAATAGTTCAGTAAACTTTTCTTTGTTTCTAACGAGATTTTCCTGATTCTTAATACTTTGCTTAGCTTTTGGAAGGCATATTTCACTATCCCAATGCAGCTTTGAATTTCAGTGTCGCACTTTCCGTCCTCTGTTAAAATACTTCCCAGATATTTAAATTTTTGTACTTGTTTGATTTTGTTATCTCCAATTTGTAATTTGCATTTTGAAGAATCCCTTTTGCTAACAACCATGCATTCTATCTTCTTGCAATTGATGCTTAGTCCTTCATTCTTGCTTTCCTTTACCACCTTCTGTAGGAGTTCTTATAATTTCTTTTCTATGTCTGCTATCAACACTATGTCATCTGCATATCTTATATTGTTAAGATTGTGGCCACCAATAATGAATCCTGGTAGGATTTTTAATTCTCTCAGAACCTTACTGTAAAGGTTGACAAGTCCGATGAAAAGACACATCCTTGTCTTACACCCCTTTTTTATTTTTCTATATTTACTGAATTCATTTTCAATCTGTATGTAGGCGGCTTGATAGGAGCTTGCTTACAGTACTTGGTGTTCCTAAGTGGTCTCTCATCTAAATACTGACCAGTCTTGACATTGCTTAACTCTGGTGATCAAATGGAAACTAGTGTTTTTCAACTTGATTTGACAATAATTCCCAAAACAGGTTTCAATAGATGTATATGGGGAAATTGAACATCTTGCTCAGTTTCAAGTTACATTTTTGCAAAGTCTTAATAAACCTGATTCATACCTATTTAAGTTTCAGAGAGATTTTTGTAAATATGATTAACACTTTCACTCCTGCATCATTATAGCATTGTTGCCTGGCTGTGCTGGCCTGTCTTAGGGAAAATACAAAATTGCTATTTGCTTGAAATAAATGTAAAGATGCCAATGATAATTTCTCATGGGTGCTACCATTTTGGTTTCAGTAGGATACTCCATCGTACATCCTAAACTAAATGAAACCACTAACACACAGTGTAATAAAAAATTACCATGAAACAAGTTGTGGCAACTAATAATGAATCTGCGTAGGACATCTATTTATCTCCGAATCGCCTCACTGTATAAGTGAATAAGTCCGGTGAGAAGATGTATCCTTGCCTTACACCCCTTTCTATTTTTGTATATTTACTGAATTCATTTTCTATCCGCATGCAGGCAGTTTGCTGCCAGTGCAGGTTCTCGATTATTCTAATATTCTTCCCAAATGTGTCAAGGTTACCCTTCAGTTCCGACAGTTCTAGTACGGGAGATTGAAGGTTTTTCAGGATCATGGGACCACTTCTTAATTGCTGTTGTTCCCAGGTCCACCCATAACCTGACCCGAGGTGATAGCACCTGTTAAGATCCCAGCTTTGGGCAATTAGTGAACCCCCAAACAATACGCTATGAAAGTATAAAATACATTTTTATAGTAAAATTACCAGCAATACATTTTATGTAAAAAAAATAGCAACAATATTATTTATAGTGAAATTAGCAACAATACCGTTTTAAAGCAACATGACTAGTAATAGATTTTATCTGTAGTTCACAAGATAAAAAGTTACAGTGTCTCCGGACACATCTTTGAACTAATCCAGTCTTTCCTTTCAAATCGCAAAATGAAAGTTATACTGAACGACCACTGGTCTGCATCCTTTCGTACTAAAGCGAGTGTCCCCTAGGGCTCCATCCTTAGTCCTACTTTGTTTTTAACTTTCATTAATGACCTTTCTGATGACATCAGCTCTTAACTTGGCATCTACGCTGACGACACAACCATTTAATCCTGCCTCGATAGTAAGGCTGATTAGTCTGATACCAGAATAGCAACCTGTCTCCAAAACGACCTCTAGTTCCTCGTCAACTGGAGCAAAAGATGACTTGTTAATTTTAACGCATCTAAAACTAAACTTCTCTCCATTAATCATCTGACAGACTCCTCTCTACCTTCCATCAGTATGGCTGATGCTAACCTCCATGAAAGTGACACGTTGTGACTTCTCTAGCTAACGTTCTCGACTGACATGAAGTCGAAAGACTATATTGAATCCATTGCTAGGTCAGTTGACAAGAAAGTCGGCTCACTGTGTCGTGCGAGAGAATTTTTCGTCCCAGAAAATATCTTACATGCCTATAAGTCTAGGTAAACAGTACGGCCTCTGTTAAGGATGTTTTAAGGAGTGTGAAACGATCTCTTAATTGCATGAGCAAATAGTTAACCCCTAAACTGTGGTGAAAACACTATGAAAATGTAAAAATAGGTTTTAATACTGTTATGAATAACCAGGAGTGGTCTTCCCTTGTTTTGTTACTTTCCTCTTTGAGAGAGCTGTTTCTGTTTACTGGGACTATAAAAGGACACTATATGCGAACCTTGTATTCTCAGTTGAATAAAGCTTTCTTAAAGCCTACACCTGCATACTTTTGTTATTACCACTAAAATGGATGCTATTTTTCCAGAAATGAAAGCAAAAAATCGCTGTTTTAAAATATTTGCCAAAAATCACGAAATTATCCGATTCAAATGAAATGTTCAGGACTTATTCATTAACACACACACACAAAACAACTACACACACACACACACACACACATATATATATATATATATATATATATATATATATATATATATATATATATATATATTACTGAATAGTTCTTTTTATTAAAAATCTTTGGGGATATTCTTTTCGATGTAACATATTACGTTTTAATTTGGAAGGGATTGTTCGTCCATTTTTTCCAGTTACATAAAGAAAAATCCCTGAAGATATTATTCCAGTAACACATTTAGACAATATCAAGTGTGAACAGACTGAAAATACCGCCCGCATATTACTAAAAATAATCCAATAAAACTAATGTTTTTTTCTTCTTTTTTTTTTTTTGAGAATTTGTGCTGCTGACATAATTTAATGAAACAAGTTATTTTCTTTCAGAGTGGACAGAAATAAAAAAAATGTACACTTAATATTTATCTTAAAAAAATGACTTCAATTTTTTAGTACGATTTTGAAATTAATCCCGTCCTTTTCATCACAAAACTTTCTTTTACTGAATAAAGACATGTTTAAAGATTTTAAAAAAATGTAGTTTAATGTCATTTTTGAGTGCAAACGTTTTTTAAAAGAATTTTATTTTTTTCTTTCTAGCAACTGTTACAATATTTTTGGTATGAGTGGACATAATTCTAATATTTCGCTTTGAATGACTACTAATCAATATCGAAAGTGCATTATGATATTAATCTAATTTCATATCTCTCTTTCAATCAAGTTTTGTACATTAAAAGGATTGTTTTTCGATTCATCGATACGGATGTTCTATTTTATTTATTTATTCATTCACCCGTCTGTTTTCCTACATTTATTTACAGATACTTGTATACAAGAATGACAATACTTATTTACACCCAGGTGCAAATTAATTGAAACAAAACGAATAATTCCGTTATTTACTTTTTTCATATGACCCAGTGCACATTTTAATACTTCGTATGTCCATTGCACGAAGTCGTTTCTTGCAGATTGACCACAGATTCTCGATTGGATTTAAATCAGGAGATTTTCCAAGCCAGTCTCTAGTATCTTGATTTGCTCACTGGTAAGGCTTGCCAGTGTGTTCGTACAGCGTTACAATTTTCGTATGCTTTCTTGGAGTAACGTCAATCGCAGACAATAGCCGTAGGACAACTAATCGATAGTCGAGACAGTAGTGTCTGGGCGTGATAAAAATCAGATGCAATCACTGATGACGCAATATTTTTCAAGGCCAAACAAATTTCATCATACACCCCGAAAATAGATTCATATTACTGCACACCACTGCAAATGACTTAATGTGAGAAAAAATACAAATCGATTACACCCTGTCACTCCAGTGGGTCTATAGTATGGTGAAAGAAAGGAAACTAAACGGTTGTTTCAATTAATTTGCACAAGAGTGTACTTCAGTAATTAAACATAAGTTGTTATTCTAAGTTTTTATTGTTTAAAACCAAATGTTTGACTTACTTTTTCCTGCATAATTTGTTTCCCTCGCCACTAAAAACATTTTCAGAATAACGACGAAATTATTTTATTTGTATAAAAGATTTTTTTCTAAAATTTTCCTCTTAGACTAAATGTTTTTCCTTTCACATCAATTTAACACAAATTACATTTTAAAAAAATGCTATATTTTTGTTTAGGGGGCACCTTAATGGCTTCAAATTTATCCATTATACTAAGTTTAATAAATCGTATGAAATTAAAAAAAATATTCTTAAACTATCGGTTAAATACAGATAAGGAAAATTTGTTTTTGAACATAAATAATAAATAATTCCTGATTACTGCACTTCTGGTCCACAGTATTTTTTTAAAGTTTTACTTTGTCCTGAACTTTTTCGGACAAGGGTAGAATTACAGAGTTTCGATAATGTCCTTTGACCTCACAGGCTACCGTGTGTAAATTAAAGGTTATTTTCATTCTGTTTTAAGTAAAAGGTAAGCATTATTTTTAGAAGAAACAGTTAATTAATCCTTAAATTTACTAACAAACTTTGAAACACATCTCTAGGGCATATATTGGATTTTAGAGAGAATATTAAACTTGTTGCTTACATTTTTCGTATACAGTGGCCGACCAGTCAGTCGATGTGTGACGAAAAAATGCACCAATGTTTTATTTATATACGGATATTAATTTTGTTTTAATTCGGATTAGCTTTAGGCCATTATCTTTCAAATAGGACGGAAATTTAAATTTAAAGAAAGCATTTAAATTATTTAAAATGCGCTTTTCAGGTTTTTTTTTTTTTTAGAAATTCCGAAAATTCGGCCCAAATAAAAAAAATTTGGGAACCACTGCTATAAACCATCGAATTTTGCCGTCTTTTGTAATATTTTCCAGATAACTAAATTTCTATTTCTACTTGATTCTGGCACCAATTCGTAGCTCAGGTAACCCTCTTGCCAGCGATTAAGCATTCTGTCTTACAATTGATAGATAGTCCTTTCTTCTTGCTTTCCTTTATTATCTTGTCTAGGAGTTCTTGCAGTTTTTCTTGCTGTGTACAAGATAACAATAGCAGGACATCTCGTTGCACAAGCGAGTTATTTAGCAAACTTGGAGCATAAAACCATAAAACGAAAGGAATTTTGAAAACCGTTGTAGGGTGACGTAAACATAAAGATATGTTTTACCCCCTGGGGGTTTTGCCAGTAAACTGGTTAGAGAAAATGTAATCTTAAATCTAGATTCAATGACTTAGAAATTTACGCATCGTTGGGAAACACTGGTTATCATAATAGTCTAAGTAAATTATTAATACCCAAAGTATCGTTATTGTGTCTTGGTTTGGATTGGTTGGTTTTGTTTAGAGGCATATCAACACCTCTATGGGTTATTTAATGCTGGAATCTAAATAATCTGGACATAGTTTTATGGCTTCAACTAAATACATTTTGAATGCAATTGTATGTCTTCAACTACAGATAAAATGTATAGCTGGTTATTTTGCTTTTAAAATGTACTGTTGGTCATTTTATTATAAATATGTATTATTGGTCCTTTTTTATATATAAAAACGTATTGCTGGTATTTTTATACATAATGTTTTGTTTGGGGGGGGTCAATATTTGCCTATAGCTGGGACCCTAACAGGTGCTACCACCCCGGATCAGTGTGGAACTGGTAACAAAAATAAGAGGCATTCTTGTGGCCGTGCGAAAATAATTTCCTTTTTATTTATTTATTTATTTCATATTAATACGATCATCGGTGTTAAGCAACGTCGAACCTGCTCAGTACTTAGATGGGTAACCAGTTGGGAATACCAGCTCCTGTAAACTTGGATGTGCGGATGGTTTAATGGGCTTAAAGTCATATCACTTTCAAACATCAGTTCTCGTACGATCACCGAAGTTAAGCAATATCGAGGCTGGTGAGTACCTAGATGGGTGATCACTTTGGAATACCATCTCCTGTAAACTTGGATGTGCGGGTGGTTTAATGGGCTTAAGATCACATCACTTTGAAACACCAATTTTCATTCGATCACCTAGGTGGGTGGCCACTTCATTATCTGTCCCTGCCTTTTCACTATCTATTTTAGTCTGTTCATATCTATCTATCTATCTATCTATCTATCTATCTATCTATCTCATTTATTCATAATATTCTCTACTTTATCACACCAAGCCCGCCTCCATTTTTCATCATCACTTCTCGATCTGCAACATCAGAATGGCTTTGAATCTAGTTACCGTGTTGAATCTGTCTTTCTTTGGGGCGCTTATCTCTACAGCAACGTAAATTCTGTGTAATGTGTGCAGAAATATTCAACGTTGTTGGTCGATCTTTCCCGTCAACCTATTTAAGTCAATTCATTTTTACACTGCGTCTCATGTAAAATGTCACTTAATATAAAAGTGACTTAGTCCTTGCGTTCAAGTTGCTACAAACCTATTCTTTACGAGAAGCAAAAAAAAAAAAGAAAAAAAAAATCCCCTGGCCGACTGGGATAACATTCTTGCAATAAGAAAACATCGGTACAATTTTTTTAATTCTATGTCTACAATTCTTGTTCTATTCTCTTTTTTTTTTAGTTCTGTAATTCTTTTCCTTATAATCGATTTAATCTTTCCGTTTTCCGCTGACATGAAGTGGATAGATTATATTGAATCCATTGCTAGTTCAGCTGCTGAGAAAGTTGGTTCGCTGTGTCGTGCAAGACAATTTTCCTCTGCAGAATTTATCTTACATATCTATAAGTCTACCACTCGTCCATGCTTTGAATATTGCTGCCACATATGGTTCGGTGCTTTTGATACATATTTAGAGATTCTGGATAAAATACAAAGACTAAGCAATATTATTGGTCTAAACCTGGCATATCGACTTCAGTTCTTTTCCCATCGCCGTAACGTAGTTTCCCTCTGCCTTTTCTATAAATACTTTCATGGTAATTGTTCAGGTGAACTCTTCTCTATGGCACCTAGACTTTATGAATTTAAGTGCAGTACTAGATTGGCAGTAAGGTCTCATCAACCAGTTGAATTGGTACATGTTTAGTTCTATGCTAACAGTCTTTCTTTCGCAGTTCTCGCTTATGGAATTCTCTTCTGGCCTCTTGCTTTCCAATCAACTTTGATTTTCAAAAATTTAAATGCAAGGTCGATCATTATCTTCTGTCTTCTTAATTCCTCTTCTTTTATTGTTCTCTCTCCTTAATAATGTTTTTCTTTTTCTTATATTCTTTCACACTCAGTAACCCCCTTGCATCTTAGTGGCTTGTTTGGAGAGAAATGATTAAAATTTAAATGCAATATCAATCGTTATCTTTTGTCTTCTTAATTCCTCTTCTTTTATTGTTCACTCTCCTTAATAATGTTTTTCTTTTTCAACATATTCTTTCACACTCAGTGACCCCCTTGCGTCTTAGTGGCTTTATTGCTTTGCTTGGGGTGAAATGATTTAAAACATCGCATAATCTATATTTACAATTCAATTCTGTTCTTTTTTCTTCTTTTTTTCGATATATTCAATTCTACAGTCCACCTGAATTTATTATGAAAAATCACATAAATCTCAATAATTCAAATTTTAAAAATTATCAAATTTGAAACAATTAATTTAGACATCAAAACAAAATTTAAATCTTTAGGTAGTTTCTGTATGCTTTATTTAAGTTATTGGATTTATTATAAAAACTGCACTCTGAAGTTACTATGTTGATTAAACTAATATTAGTTTAATGCTTTTGAAATCTAATAAAAAAAAACATTTTTCTTTTTTTCTATAATATATCTTGAAACATGGGTAATGAAAAGGATCTAAAAAATGTTGAAAAACAGAGAATTAAGTTATTGAGTGATGGAATGTCCACATTGGTGATATAAAAAGAGCTTCACAGAGGACATCGAAAGATAAAGAGGGCTGTTGAAAATATAACTAAGTTGAGAACTAGAATCAAAAGAAAAGCTTTTAAGAATTTGTATCATCGAGGGGAATGTAAACTAAAGCGAGTTATAGCGAAAACAACCAGTGCTCAGATCTTTGAATAGATTGGAATTTAGGGAATCTAAAAGGGCAAAAAGGGTTTAGAATACTTCATAAATTGAAATCTGTCAAAAACTTTTGTTTCATTTGTATGTAGAAATCACTTATTATTTATTACAGTCCGTCTGAAGTTATTATGCAAATCACATAAGCCGCAACAACTCGTATATAAACCTGGCGTGTATTGCTAAGAAATAATGTACGTGTTGCTTATCCTACAAAAATTGTTTCATACAAAATTAAAAATACTATTTATTACTGTACGTTTGATGTTCTTATGCAAATCATAGAAACCTCATAAATCGAATTTGCTTTAAAAAAAATTTAAAAAATTAATTTGGAGGTCAAAGCATAATGGTAAAGTAAAGGAAAGAATCTAAGATATGCTGAAAAATAGAAAATAACAAAATTATTCAGTGACAGAATGTCCGCAAATGGAGATATCAAAGGAATTTCGCAGAGGACATCGAACGAAAAAAAAAAGACGGCTGTTGAAAATATAACTAAATTGAGAAGGGGGAAGAAGCATTGGAAAAGGCTTTAAGAACTTCTTTTCCATGAGGAAAATAAAAAACTAAAGTGATTTACAGTGAAACAACCACTTTTAAAAAGTACTCAGATCTTTGAACAGGCTGGAATTGAGGGAATCAAGAAGAACAAAAGGTGTAGAATTCTTCACAAATTGGAACTCTTAAGAAATCTCTAGACAAAGCAAATATTTTAAAGCATCAACATTGGACCAAAAAATTGACTTTTCTAAAATACATTTCAAGGTCGAATCTAGGGGTGAAATGGGACCGACCTGATGGAGATCGGCCAAAAGATGTGACTGTATTTAAAAGAAGGAAGCATGGAGATGACAGTGTGATGATAAGGATTAGAATGGCTGACTAAACGATTATTGAACCATTCAAAGTCGATATATGAGTCAAATTGAACAATGCTACCTATCGCAATTTTTTATTGAAAAGACTTTCTTTGAATGGTTAAATCCCAACCTTGCATTTTCAAAGTGAAGTGTGTATTCATGCATGACAATGCTTCTTCTCATGTATCTAAGATTACCTGTGAATTTTTTCTTAGGGTAAAAGGTTTGCAAGAGAGACGATAATGGAATAGCCACCATCAAATCTTTGATCTGAATTGGATCGAAAATTCATGGTCAATTGTGAAGATGAAATTATATGATGCTGACAAAAAATATGATAGCAAAGTCTAGGAAGGAATTCCATGTTGGAAATGAAACTTACAAGATTTAAGAAAATCATTGGATAATAGAACAAAATCATTGGCTAATAGATTGTTGGATGTTATTGAGAAGAAGGGCTAATATATTATGATTTAAATGCTTCAAAGACTTATTATATATGTTTGTTATTTGTTCTATTCTAGGTGTTGATCAATTGTTGATGATATTATTGCTTTGTTATTGAGGCAAAAATGATTTTCTTGGTTTGAATAATAATCCCAGTCTGCAGTTTTTATATTAAATCAAATAACTTTAATAAAACAAATTGAAACTATCTAAAAATTTAACTCAAACTTTGTTTTGATCTCTAAATTAATCGTTTAAAATTTGAGAAAAAATTTTTCAAAGCAAATTAGAGTTATTGAGATTTATGTGATTTGCCTAATAACTTCAGATGGCCTGTATTCTGTAAGCTGTAATTAGACAGCAGGATATTATTTAACCAAACAAGTTCTGTTTATACAATTTTTATTAACTTTTTCAAATTTTCAAATTAGTTGTTTTATATAATCGGTAAGTTTTTAAGTTCATTTTTTGAGTACTTTTGGATGTTGCTTCATTCGTTTTTAAAGATTTTGTTTTGTCTATTTTTATGCCACAGTTTTTTTTATGTCTATTCCAGCCTTCCCACGTTTGCTGCAACTAATTTCAAGTTCTCAGGGTGAGGTCATTTATAACATTTCAATGTGTCGTCAGTTTTATTTCTTTCCACTTGGAGATATTTAATCTCATCCTTGGATATTCTGATTTTTCTTTTTATTAGTGAAGGTCGAAATTTTGTTAAATTAACTAAAAACAGTTGCATAAACATGAACAAAACAGTCATTGACAACGAATGTAGCAACATTCGAAAATATTCGGGGAAAATACAGTGTAACCCGGATATAAGAGACCCGGATATAAGAGAGATTTTCTCTGGTCCCAAATTAGAGCCTGTGTTAATGTATATAAATTAGACCCGGATATAAAAGACCCGGATATAAGAGAAACCCGGATATAAGAGACTTCTTCTCCGGTCCCGACAACTCTCTTATATCCGGGTTACACTGCATAAATAAAAATGAACTTTGGTAAATTTATCCATTATATAAAGCAACTAATTAGGAAATGGAATTAAAAAAAATGGACAGACAGAACTGGTCGATATTCAACCAAAAAGTTCTATTCTATATCTACAATTCAATTTTATTCTTTTTTAATTCTATACATACAGGGTGTATCAAAAATACTTTTAAAGACTTTGGGAGCTAATTTCTCACACAGACAAAAGTCCATATAAACATTCGGTCTGAAAATCAATCTGATACAGCCGTTCGGCCTCGCGTCCATTACCATTTCAGCGGCCGTATGTAAAAATCATATCTGCCTGCATACGATATGAATATCTTCCTATTGTTAAATGAAATACTTCTCAGTTTACTCATTACAACACACGTTAAACGTTGACGACAGACTAGCTACAAATGTACACGAATAACAAATTTAACCTAGTCTACGTGACAACACAAGTTTCTTTAAACTTAATAACTCAAAAGCGAAGGATTTGCGGACATATGCTAATATGGACGTTTGCATTTGTTTTGCTGTGAGAAACCTGACTCCAAATTTTGAAAAATTATATATATATATATATATATATATATATATATATATATATATATATATATATATATAAGGATATATATATATATATAAAATAAAAAAAAAAAAATAAATCTCCATAGACACTTAACCAGACTAGACGATGTCATCTTCTGCTTTAAATTTAGACACCACAACCTTACCCTGACTTGACAAATTATTAACTCTAGCAGTTACCATAGTAATTTTAATTTTAATAATGAATATGCTTATAAAACGCGTAAATTTCAAGAATAAGTTATTCCAAAAAAAATCGCTTGAAGATGGAACAGAGCTTGATACTTTAATTCAATTCAAATAATTATATTGAAGTTTTCGGCTCTTGTTTTGAAACATGAGAACTCTTATTTAACGTTGGAATCATATTTTAAATAA